GACATCGTCCGCGGGCGTCGAGGCTGGGATAGCCTACGGGTCTAATACGAGGGAGGGGCCGAGTAGACTGTTGATCAGGAGGACGTCTCCTCCATCTTCGAGGAATAGATTGATCAGTGAACGCGCGCGAGACGAAGGATAATCCGACAAACCTCAACAGTGCGATACTCTAGTGGGGTTGAGTAGACTGTTGGTCCGGAGGACGTCTCCTCCATCTGCGAGGACAACTGCGTCAGCGAACTCGCGCAAACCGAAGGATAATATCACCAACCTCAACAGTCTGGCACTCATGGGGCCGACCTCACATCCCTCGTTCGCGACTCCTACAGGGACCCGCGTGAGCACTTGCCAAAGCGCATAGAACAGAAGACACTCACCAGTAGAACAACTATCACCTCCATTGGCAACAGGCCTCGATAAATGCGGTACTTAGGCGGAGGTCTCCAATCCGGATCGGGGGTATAGGTATTGAGCGGAACCAAACAGAGACGGAAAGACAGATCCGGCGTATGACGATACGAGTCCAGGGTGTAGGGATGTGAATTCGAGGTATGAGGGAATGCATCCGTGGGGTATATTGAGATGCGGTAAAATTGGTGTGCGCGGACGAGTCCAAGAAGAGGAAAGGCTGACCCAAGGGTATCAGGATACGAGTCCAGGGTATAGGAATGTGAATCCTGGGTATGAGGCAATTTATCTGTGCTTGAAGGTGAGGGAGATTCACTCTCATGCGCGAACCGTGGAGGCGGAGGGAGCCGACGCATGGAACAGGGGTTGGATCGCGAGGCGATGCGCAGCCAGCGATGCATACAGGCCGACAGGTGGAAGCGTCGGGTAAGAGCCCGTCCCTCACTTGCGCCGCGCAGCCTCGGGGTGGAGGAGAGCTCCAGCTGTTCGTGCAGGGTGTCAGAGCGGCGAAGACAGCGAGTCCTCTATCAAAGAGGGACTAGGCCTGGACGGCCGAAGTGGGAAGAAAGAGTCGGGTCGACGTGCCCCTCAGTAGGGGCTACCAGCGGACATCAGTCGTCTCCGACGCCGAGACTTGACCGGCGTATTGGGGAATGGCGTCAGAGGAAGCACGGCGATTTGCGAGAGCGAATACCGACTCTTCGCAGCCAGAGGCGATGCCGGAGTGAACGCCTCGCGATCCCGAGTCCTGTTCATACGAGGCGTCTGCGGGGGGACCGCCGGCTGGTTGACCAGAGTCCAGTAAAAGTGGGTCATAGGGTGCGCATAGACAAGGGGAGCGGGCAGAACCTCCTCCATCTGCTCCTCGAGCGGAGCGGGGATCACGTCCTCCATAGCATCCTCCAGCGGGGCCACAACGATATCCTCCATACACTCCTCGAGAGGAGCAGGCAAAATCTCCTCCATGGCCTCCTCGAGAGGAGCAGGCATGATATCCTCCATCGGGCCCTGTCCTTTCTTTAAACCAGTCTGGAGCTTCGACGACGCCGTGAACCCATCCTGTCGCCGAATCCGAAGTTGGGCCATCGCCTGAGAAATCGAGAGCGAAGGAGACTGCTGAGCGATAGTCCGGTGAGGAACCCGGTGCGGCCTGTACGCTGGAGGGGCGGCGCTGCCAGTGGACACAGCATTGCCCTTCCCATACTCTCCCCCAGCTGCCTTCACCGTCTCACGACCACACACGACCTTCTTGAACGCCTTCCGTGACTCCTCGAGATCCTATACAACACATCACATCACCGTCTGACCCGAGTCCCAACGTGCGGGCGGAAGGGTACACACCTTGACAATACCACCCTCTGCACGGATGGCCCGCATCCGCGTCTGACATCATCCCAACAGTAAGCAAGCATGGCCACGACGTATGCTGTATGGCGGACGTACGTGGTTGGCAGTCTCGGTGTCGTCCCTGGGTGGCTGACGGAACGAGGCGAAAGGGTGGAGGACACGAGGGATGGGCAGGTGAGGGACATGGATGGTGCGGGAGACGGAGAGGGACTTGAACAACTCGCGTAGACCGAACATGATGGAGGTGATGTATGTGTGCGTTGTGGATGTGTTGAGGTTGAGGTTGAAGTGGAGAGTGAGGATGTGGATATTGGCGAGCTTGCGACGATGGTGTGGAACGAAGATGATGGTAGTAGGTGAGGACGAGATGGCTGCGTACGAGGCGGTTTATATGCCATCCCGGAGAGGAGGAGGCTGGCAGACCGGGAGCGATCTCGGTCGCGTTGAGTCCGTCAACCTCCACCGGTGGTCAGCCTACCTTCACAGCGTCGATCGATCGCACACAGCTCGGCCGCCAAGACTCGTTGGCCGTGTACCAGCACAGAACGGGTCTGGTACAATCAATGGTTGTCGTTCGAGTCCAGGATTGGGGTGATAAATTGCTGCCAAACTCCGGATACTTTGTCACGCTCTCCGTCTTTTGCACGTCCACATGGGTATGCATCGTGAGTGCATGACAGCTCGAGGAATAGGCCGGTTGTCGACGTGTGTTCGTGAGCCCCAGCTATAACCCTTGCAGATATAGTGGGTGCACGCCACAGTCCATCTGTCCGTTCATGTCCTTCAGCAATCACACAAGTTCCCTTTGGAGAAAAAAGGCCAAAATTGACTGCTCTGTGGCATACACACGATTGCAACACAATGGGTAGAAGCGACGCCAAACAAAAGCGCCTGTGAAGACATAGTACACGATCAGTGATTGCTCTGAACATGTGAGCCCAAGCTGTCAAGTTATTTGAAGGAATCAGCAAAGAGGCTGACAAGCTACTCTCGACTAGACTTCGACACTAGGCCGCCAAGATATAGAAGTCTAGTCGAGAGTTGTCTGTCAGCCTCTTCATATCCAAAGCGTCCCAATACTAGAAGGGGGTGACCCTACGTGTATTGTATGTGCACGCTATTTCTCCTCGGGAAACCCGCGTACTACATCGGTTTGTGACGCGGATCGCAACCGCATCGAGAGTAGAACAAAGGAGCCCTACACCCATCAGGCAGGGACACACGATGCGTCACAAGCCATCTGGCACGGATAGTACCCCATTCTCCTGGCATGTCAGCTCTCATACTGCCGAAGCGTCCTTCGAGCACGACCTCCGGTCTCGGCGAACAAGCTCGGACATCTGCTCAAAAGACCAGACGCTTTCCTGGCCTCTTGTCAGCCTCTGTCTCTTCGAAACGTCCGGTCAACGACGAGACGTTCTGCGCGTCCAACAAATGCATACTTACCCATGCTGCTCGGACGAACCTTACGTAGTATACCATTCCGGGTCATGAGCGGTGGTCATGCTTCTGAGGTTTGATCATGTAAAGAGCACGGGTCATAGCACGTCAAGGGTCGAGCGCAAGGTACTTGGGTTGAGCTGCTGTCCAGCTCTCCCTATGAGGCCATCAGCGAGTATCGACGCCCATGAAGTTGTCGCATCATTGCGCTTGGCAAGATTAGGGTGTAGTCCTCCTGTATAGCCAAATAGGACCGGAAAGCGATGTGTTTGGTCATTGAAGGAAGTCGACTGCGCACCTGTCGATTTGCCGCGGACAGTATGCACAGCAGTGTGAAGTCAAGCTCATCTGTATCGAGATTGTGCCGTGGCGTGATGCACGACACCGGACGAGGGCCATCCGCACTGGGAACTTGGCAGCCCTTCCAGTGTTTCCGGGTTTGGATTTGAGCCCTTGGGTGGTCCTGCGCGTCCTGCGCGTCGCCATGCATGGGGAGAAGCTTCCCTTTGAGTCCCGCGTATACGCCATGCCATTGTGTGACTCACCGGATACGACAAAGCCCTTCTTTTGACACGTTGCGGTCTGGGAAGTCCACACTATCCTATTCCAAGCCTTCTTGCCCTGCTATGCTGTTGCTGTATTCTTGCGGCTATGCTCCGCGGTTGCGCCGGACAGGCATAGAGGTGTATTCGTCTTTCCAAAGAAGCTCTTTCTGTCGAAGATCATACTGTATAGCCCGCTGAATGTTAGCGGCTGTCGACGACGGTATGCGGATAGATCGGCAGATCAAAGCAAGTATGGCAACTTCGAGCATCTGGACGGTTATCAGATTAGATGACGAGGGAAGAAAGAGTAAGCAACGACGGGGGACAGGTTTCGGCGGCAACGCTTGCGTGCTCTCCTCGTTTTCTGACAGTGTCCCTTGTCCGCCCCAGTCCTGCTTTTTCGCGGATCATCGGTGCCTCCTGGGGGGGGGTGTCTTTAACTTATACATAAGCCCCCGCCCACGTTCCCCTCCTTTTCGACAATCCCTCTTCCTCCTGGGGTACACGTCTTTCCCCTTAGTCGTTTGCTTCTGTGCACGCCACCATGTCCTCCAACAAGGTTCCGACCGCGGGCGTCGACCTCTCTCAGCCCATCGCGACCGTCCTCCGGGAGGGCACCCGCGAAGCCCACCAACGCGCCGAGCACTCCCAGGGCGCACAATCGCTCACGCGCGGCGAGCTCGACCGGGAGGAGTACGCCCGCTTCCTCATGCTGCTCTGGCACGTCTACGAGTGAGTACCAGTCCCCCGTTCGTCCCGAGCGATCTCGCCGCCCTCGCCCACGCTCACACGGCGTCCCCCTCTCCCCTCCCCCACAGCGCATTCGAGCGCGCCCTCGAGCAGCACGCCACGCACCCCGTCCTCGCCCCGACGCACAACCCGGGCCTCTTCGCGCGCTCCGCGAACCTCGCCGCGGACATCAGCTACATCCTCCAGGTGCCCGAGCCGTCCTGGCAGGCGCACCCCGTCCACGCCGCGCTCGTGCAGGCGCCGCCGCCCGCGCTCGCACGGTACGTCGGGCGCATCGAGGAGCTCGCGGCGGGCCCGGACCCGGCCAGGCTCCTCGCGCACGCGTACGTCCGCTACCTGGGCGACCTCTCGGGCGGGCAGTTCATCCGGCGGCGCATCGCCAAGGCGTACGGGCTCGAAGGGGGCGTCGGGGGCGTCAGCTTCTACGAGTTCCGGACGCTGACGGGGTCTTTGGAGAGCGCGAACGCGGGGGAGATGAAGCGGATCAAGGAATGGTACCGCGACGGGATGAACGAGGGCGTTGGGGACAACGCGGAGCTGAAGGGTGAGTGGCGTCGTGTGGGAGCGTCCGGGGTGGTGGTGCTCACGTACCGGTTGCTTCCCAGCCGCGATCCTGGAGGAGGCGAACCTCGCGTTTGAGTTCAATACTGGGCTGTTTGACGAGCTCAAGCCGCCGTCTAGGCCGTCCACCATCGCGACTACCGCTACGGTAGACGTCGTCCCGACTCCCCTCCACTCACCTGTCGACTCCTCGTCTCCGCCCTCGACGCCGTTCGTAGAAGACATGGGAGACTCCCCCGAGCTTGCTGCCATCAAAGCGCGGGGCGGCTCGAAGACGGTCTTCGAAGCGACCGAGGGACCGACGTCGTCAGTGACGTTCGCTGCGACGTCCGTCATCGCCTTTATCGTGGCCTTCTCGATCGCGCACTTCACGCTCGTCGTCGGTGGCTTCACAGGCTCGAAGGGGTACGCCAAGCTCGAGATATTCACGCAGTGGCTGGACAACTTCTTCGGCTCCGGCTCGAGTCCTGCTCAGACGTGACGACCGTTGCCGCTACTGCTAGGCCTCACATTTTACATGCGGATATTCCATACACATCCATCACGGTTGCTTCAGCGTCGCATACGGTCTCTGCTCGGATAGATGCTTCGCTCTAGATCTGCTTATTGGTTTCTGCAGACTCTTACTGTACCACACCTCACCTGTACCAATACTTTCAATCACCTAACTGCTTTCGGCGTCCCTTTCCCACTCATTGCATGTTCACTGAGCCCTCGCGGCAGACTGTGCTTATTCAAGGTGTATGCGCCACGGACGCCGCAAGAACATAAAGATAAACACGTCAAGTCCTCAGAGGGGCCGCGCATGTCTCCAGCTCAAGGTTTGACCTCCTCCCCCTTCCAATCCCAGATCCTCCCTCTCTGGTCCTCGCGCAGCCCCTCCACGACCTCCGCGAGCCGCGCAGCCGCGTACTCGGGCGCGAAGAGCTTCTCGGGGCTCACGCCCTTCCAGAAGTCCCTGCTCAGATCCGTCTTGACCGTCCCCGGGTGCAGGCCCACGGCGACCGCGGGCAGCCTCCGCGCCTGGAGGTGCAGGTCGAACGTGCGGACGACCTGGTTCAGCGCCGCCTTGGACGCGCGGTACGAGTACCAGCCCCCGAGGCGATTGTCGGAGATCGAGCCCACGCGCGCGGAGACGTGCGCCCACTTCGCGACGAGCGGGCGCTGCTGCTCTGCTGCGCCCGCGGGCGCGGAGGTGGAGGTGGAGGTCTGTAGCGCGCGCGCGGCGGGCGGGAGGAAGCGCGAGAAGTGCTTGATGGCGAGGAGGTGCGAGACGACGTTCAGGCGGAAGGTCGCGAGCACGTCGTCGAGCACGAGGTCCGCGGGCTGGCGCTCGGGGTGGAGCACGCCCGCGAGGAAGACGGCGACGCGGAGGAAGGACGGCTCGGCGGAGGACCCGGAGAGCTGCGCGAGCGCGCGGGCGAGCGCGTCCGCCGCGGCCGCGACGCTGTCTTCGGAGGCGAGGTCGAGCGGGAGGAGGTGGAGGCGCGCGGGGTCGACGGAGGGGAGCGGGTGGAGGATGTGCGCGCGGACGGAGTCTGCGGTCCGCGGGCGGTCGGTCGCAGGCGGAGAAGGGCGGTAGGTGGCGAAGACGGGGAGGGAGGTGGTGCGGAGGTAGTGGCGGGCGAGGGCGAGGGACAGGCCGCGCGTCGCGGGTGCGATGAGGATGAACGGGGGCATTTCTGGGAGCTCGAATGTAGAGCCGGGCTCAGAGAAAGGTGTATATGTACATGAACGTTTTGGAGGTCTGGCTCAGTCCCTTTGAAGCACCCACCGATGCGGCCCCAATCTCACCGTCAGCCCATCTCGGCAGCAGCCGATCCGCTGCTCAGCAGCGTGTGATACAAGCCCGCATCGTTTGCGAACACTGAGCGTGCAGTAGACAAGCTTGGAATTGAGATGGGATGTAACGGTTCGTACGTACTTACTTTCCGTCGGCGTTAAATATGACGATCGCAAACGCCGCGGGGTTGGCTCTGGGCGCTCACCGACACACGCTCCGGCGGCTCCGCCCCTCACGACTTTGTCCTCGTCAAATACTGCCACCAGCCCTTGACGGTGTCCCATGACACCCTCCGACTGCTGTCTCCCTACCCCACGCGAAGCACAGATGTTCCCGTGACGACTGTCAGATTCTCAGAAATCAGAAGGAGGATCTGCCACGAAGAACTTCGCGCGAACCTGCATACGCTTTCGTTCTACGTATGGCTTTGGACCTCCTACCTTCCGGAAGCCTTCCTTTTCTGCGTGACATAGGTGCAACAGACTTCATCTCGAGGAGCGCACCGATCCATGCCAGACGGCGCGCCGCAGAGACAATTCTATGTGATGGACTTCCCTACTCCAAGTACACGCTCAGACATCATGTCGTCCGGGTCGCTTCCTGCTGATGAAGAGTCACAGGAAGCTTGTTGGACATACGTCGTGTGTCAATTCCCTAGCGTTCTCCAACGACGGTCGGTGGCTCGCGAGTGCAGGGGACGGTGAAGTGTCTTGTGATGGCGTATGAACCGCACATGCTCATGTCGCAACATTCGGTTGCAGATCCGTACGTGCAGATATGGGACTTCCACCAAGAACAGCTGTCCAAGCCGGCGTTGAGCTTCTTAGGACCAAGGGTAAGCGAGACAGGATTGCAGCGGACGGTGATGCTCAAGCTGAGCGTCGTGCTTATCATGTTCCAGTCTAATGTCTTCACGCTCGCCTTCTCGGCCTCGGCACGATTTGTCTACTCGTGAGCGGTCAATACCTGTGTCGAACTGTCTCGCTTATGGCTCTACCAGTGGGGACACAAGCAACATCCTACATCAGTACGATATTTCCAGCCTGCACGACCCCGTAGCGCGTGTAGAGGCCGGTTCCCAGGCCGGATCTCCGAGCTGGAGCAACGCCCAGCACGACGTGAGCCTTCTTTGGCTTTGGAATCGCACAAAGGCCGGCAAGTATCGCTGACCCGACGCAGGACAGCATCCGCTCGATATCGTGCCACCCCGAGCAGGACAATCTGTTTCTCAGCGCAGCGTGAGTGCGTCCTTCTCGCGACGAGCAGGGGCGCATCATGACCATCCCTCGATCTGCAGCGAAGACGGCCGCATCGTCCTACACGATATGCGCGGTGACTCGCGGTACACGCGGACGCAGCGGATCCTGCAGCACCGCACGGAGCTGACGTGCGTGCAGTACCATCCGACGATGCCGGACCTCTTCGCGACTAGCGATAATCATGGGCAAGTGTGCCTGCGCGACGTTCGCATGGCGTTCGGGCCTCTGTCTCAGCGCCGGGACGAGGGCGTCGTGCACAAAGTAAGGCTTCCGCGGTCGTGCATGCGCCGGGCAGGGCACCTCATCGTTCAGCAGTATGTGACAACGGTGGCCAAACAAGGTGTCGCGAACATGGCACGGCCAGAGGCGAGCAGCATCACGTTTGACCGCGAAGGTCAGTAGATATGTATACTTTCGGCGCAGGTAGAGCCTCGTCAACATCTCGCGTTTCAGGACGCAGACTGGCTGTCACGACGCTGGTGAGTGTCCAGACGTGGGGCTACATCTGGCGCTGCAGATGTTGACGGCCGCCTAGCATCATCTGCCGACGTTATACGCTTTGAACGACCCGTACCCTATTGCGCTCTTCAGCGGGCGTCGCTACCCGAATGGTGCCGTGGTGAATCCCTCGGAAAACACGTACACGAACAGTTGCACGATCAAGGTGGGCATGTCTGAGGTGTCCGTGTTGGGAAACTCACGCTGACTGCGCTGGACCCAGCACGGAAGTTTCGGGACATTGGGCTCTGATAGAGACATGTACTACACCGCAGGCTCGGACGACTTCCGGGCTTACGTATGGAAGATACCGGAGGAGGCCGCTCTCCTTGAGAGCCGGAACGTCGTTGAGTATTCGGATTGGACCGAGAACAGAAGGCCTGGGGAGCTAGGTGCGTGGGATCGAGCTGTTGTCCGCGCTCAAGTGTCCGTGGCTACATGCTCGGTTGTCCCGACTAGGATATTCGGCCACTGCACTCGGGCCAAGATACGTCCCGCAAGAGATTTCTACACCCCTGGCACGCTTGACTGGTCAGCATCACATCGATGGCTGTGTTCAGACGCGCTCTGAACATGAACGCAGGACATGACTCGATCGTCAACACGGCGTTGTGCCACCCTCACCATCCCTACATCCTCACAGCAGGGATAGAGCGCTTCATCCGCCTTCACAGCCCGACGGAAGCGTCGCCCTGCACGGAGCCTATGCTGCCGACACCCAAGACGGTCCGGACCGTGTCTTTCTCCAATCCGAGCTCCCGGGAGTTGTTCCTCAGAGCGGTGGGCATGGTGGACGACCCGGACGTGGAAGAGGACGACGACGACAGCCAGTCCATCGCGCTCTTTGATCAGTGAGTAGCGCTGTTCTGTCGTGGGCCACACCGAGGGGTGTGTGTCAGGTATGTGCTGACGAGTCTGCTAGGATACTGCGCATGGAGGGTAACGGGGACGTGTTCACGGTTCGGCGTCGGGACGGGCACCGTGATGGTGGGGATAGCAGCGACGAGGACATGGACGGGGGGTCGGACTCAGACGCGGAGATGTCTTTGTATCAGTAATTCGATCGCATCAATTAGCTTCAACACATTTGACGTGGTCGTCACCGCGGGACACTTCCCGTATTACCGGAGGCGGCAGGAGGTGACGAAATCTCCAGCATTCGTCGCCTTGCTTGCGCCTCCCTTGCTTTCTCACTAAAGTACGTTGATTGCGTGGTGTTTGGTGACGTCCCATTTGAGAGCTACATAGCAGCCTGACAACAGTATATTGTACATCGAATTTGCGCTGCGGGTGCCGTGATCGTATAGAGTCCTCCAACATGACAGCGCAGTATATCCATCCATAATGGTGGTGTTCTTTGTTCAGTCGTATGGGCATCCATCTTCTCGCCCTCACTCGCTGCTTCACGATCCGCTCCCCGAGATCGAACTCTTGAACGCGTCCGTTTCTTGCCCTTGGTTGATCTTGACGATGTGCGTCGCCAATGCTGTGCGCCCGCCGCCCTGTTTGCGTTTGTACAGATAGTGCTGCCCGTACTGGAGTGCCAGACGGCGCTCTGTGAGCGAGGCGTTCGCCCCGATCCACACATAGATCGCGGGATTGGTGGGGTTCGAACTGTCATCCAGGACGAACGCGTCGTCAGGCGAGAGGGACGACTCAGTAGGCGGGGAGACGGGCTCAAACGCGAGCTGGCCGGTAGAATCCGAAAGACGGAAGAGGGCCTTCTCAGTGGCGAAGGCAACGACCTGAGGGGGACCGACGGCTTCCAGGCCGAGCTCGGAGAGGAAGAGACCTGCGCCTTGGCCATGTTCGTCTGTCCCCCAGTGGTTGAGCTATCCTCAGCACAACACCAGAAGACAAGGACATAGCGTACCGTAGACGGTGGATTCGCACTGGCTCTGGCGCTCGTTGACGAGCGACTGCACGAACTCCGCCGCCTTGAACTTGACCTTGCCGGGAGCGGCCCGCGTGTTGAACTGCCACACATTATGGCCCATGTCCAGCACGTACACGCCGCCTTCCAGGATGCTCGCGCCCTCTGTGGGTACCTCGCGGACTTGCAGATGCCCGGTGGCCTTGCCCGGCACCTGGGCGGAGGAAATGAGGTAGAGGCGGCGGGAGTTGTCCGGAGGGGGCTCGGTGACGTGGTGGAAGCCGGACGCGACGCCGCCATGGAGTGAGACGAACTTGGGGAAGTAGGAAAGGAAGCGGGAAGATTCGTACCCTTGGATCTCGCGGTACTGGACAGGCTTGCCACCGAGGTCTGCCGGGGTTCCAGGTCAGAAGCGCGATTGTGGGTGGCGACGCACAGTAGCTCACGCACGATCGTCGAGCTCGACAGTCTTGTAAGCAGCCGTTCCGGCTTCGTCTTGGGAAGTCTCGTCTCCTAACCAGAAGTGCAGATCGTAAGAGAGCTCTTCATTGTCGGGATCCTTCTTGTACGTCTGACAAACATTGAGGCCCAATATCTTCATTGACATGACGGAAAGCGTACGTGTAAGACGATATAGGAGTCTCCGTCGTAGAAGTGGCCGTAGTGCGACTTGGGCCACTCCTTCACGTGGAACTGCTCGATCCGCCAAATTTGCGTCTCAGGCTCTTTCCCAGAGGCTTGCCAAGCGGCCTCTTTGTCGCCCGCGTGTTCTCTGACATGTTTCTCAAGCTATGATAAATAGATCGCCCGGTGTAAGTAGATGATGAGAGCAAAGGGGGACGCGCCGCACATCGGATCCCAACAACGCGATGTTCGAGTCTTCAATATTGTACTGCGTGGGGCGTGTTAGATGGGCCATCTTTCAAGGGTGTGGTGCGGGATGGTATCGCTGTAAGAAAATTAGTGAAGGAACTGGGGCGCCGCCGCGGTATCCGGATGTACTGCTTGTCGTGATGGTCGTCCATTCGAAGCTACTTTAGATTAGATGAAGGAGAACCCTTATCTAATCTCTGCTATGACTGCCCTAGTGTACAGGGCAGAATAGTTTCGGCCTCCGGCAAATGGCAGAATGGCAAAACGGCTATTGCCAGGGCCGGCAAATACTGGCAGATTGGCACGCGCTACTGGGGAGCCTCGGGCGAGGAAAAGTGGGTAGAGTAAGCCAAAGAGGCCACTGAGTATCATCCTGGGCTCTTAAGTTAAGATCAGGACCTGAATCATACGTATATGATGTTGTTCGTACACTCGCCGCATCAGAGTACAGTAACAGGAGCGACTTCACATTAGCCGAGAATTCCGGCCGATCGGTCAAGCACTGGGATAGCCTCCAAAGCCTAGCCGCCCCATGTGGAGCCTCCCAGATACTCATTCATGGTACAATTTTCTAGGAGGAGACCCTCTCTCTCGCGTTGTGTGGAAGGACACTGCAGCTAGTCCGTCTCTGGTCGATCGGCGACGGTCCCATATACAGCAAGCGCCCAACAAGCGCCCAGTATCTGCCACCAACTGGCGGTCTCGGTGGCCGGCAAAATGGCATTTGCCGCCTGGCAATTGCCTCTGGCAGAATGGCAGGGTTCTGCCAAGAACACTAGACTGCCCACCCTGCCGATTGCGTCAAGTGTCGCACGCAGCCAAGAGATTCGACGCTCGCTCAGCACCATGCTGTCCTATTCTTGGCCGGCCGACCTCTTTCCCCTCGCCCCCCACACCCTTCCATAGGGCGACTGCATAATCTCCGTCATTGAGATGGCATTTGGCACAGTCAAGCTCAACGATGGCCATGAGGTGATCATCTTGGGGGCGCCAGAAACGTCGTGGCAGACGCTGACAGAGGATTGGCGCGGTATCGCGCCTACATAGATGCCGGCAATTGCGTTCGGAACGGGTTCCAAGTGGAAGGGACAGGTGCGCCTGTCACTGTGCAATGAGACCGGAGCGTCTGCTGAGACGCTACTGCTGCGTCGGCTTTCTTTCAGGACGTAACCGACTACGTTATCCAGGCCATAGAGACCGGCTTCTCCCACATCGACTCCGCGCAATGTACGTTCAGCGCCCTGCATCTCGACACGCTTGTTCATGCTTGCAATGTAGGGTACGGGACCGAGGACAGCGTAGGCCGTGCCATTCGCGAGAGCGCGTTGAACCGGAGCGACCTGTACATCACGACCAAGTGGTCTGGTCGCACCGACATACCTGAGGCGATCAACAACAGTCTCGTGCAAGTACGCGCTCTCACAACGGTCCCCGTGTGCACCGTCTTGCGGTACTCAACCGCATTCCCAGATTGGTGTGAAGCAAGTTGATCTCTACCTCATCCACAACCCGAGCTTCGTGACGGACCTAGAACATGACTGGAAGGAGTTCGAGAAGATCAAGGAGACCGGTCTGGCAAAGTACGCGTCAGTTCCACATCGTCACGCCACTGTAATCTGATACAAGGCACAAATGCAGGAGCATAGGCGTCAGCAACTTCAACCTTGAGACTCTTCAGAAGCTCGTGAAGATCGCAAAAGTCAAGCCTGCGGTCAACCAGGTAGGCGATCGTCCGTTAAGGGTCTGGGCGCATGCCCTTACGAGTCCCCCCAGATCCTCTTCCACCCGTACAACTATGCCGAGAACAAGGAGCTGCTTGAGTACAGCGCGAAACACGGTATCATCACCGAAGCTTACAGCAGTCTCTTGTGAGCCGACACTTGCTTCATGAGCGTTCGTGCCTTGCCATAGATCTCTCATCGGACTCTAGCCCCATCACGAGGTACCCTGGCGGTCCAGTAGACGCTCCTGTCGCAGCAGCCGCAAAGCGTCTTAACGCCACGCCCACTCAAGTTCTTCTGTTGTGGGTCAGGAGCAAAGGTGTCTCAATTGTCACGACTAGCTCGAGCAAGGAGCATCTGCAGGAGTATCTCGCCGTCGCTGATCTTCGTGAGTTCCGCCTCCGCGTCTAGCGTTACAGTACAAGACGCCCTGATACTTCATTAGCCGCACTCACGGACGAGGAGATCGCTGCGATTGACGAGGCCGGTGCGAAGGGTCCCCCCAGCGAGACCCTCACCCATCTCCGCAGGAAGAAGTACATCAATCTCGCATGTTCACTTTTTGCCATCGGTCTCTTTTTATGGGTTCAGTACCGGGGTTAGGCCACAGTGTATCAGAAGTGTGAGCCTCGTAGCCGCTGAGAGATCTGCCTCCCCGTATTGTTGACCGGTTCTACTGGCACCGGATTGGACTGATATGATTGGATGTCCCACCTGTTGAATCGAGCGTTGGGAGGTCTCCAGGCAGTCGAATGAAAGCATCAATGGGCGTGTGCTCGGTGCACGAGGATCGAATATACAACTAGAGGAAAATGTATATGTGCTGATCAACGAACATCTTTCTCAGCTGCCTACAGCCGTTTTCATGACTGGTGCAACTCTTCGGCATAGCTATGTAGCCAAGATTGCGCATTTCGGTGGAATGATCAGTCACGGTCGTCTAATATGATCAGAACACAGTGGCCATCAGAGGCGCTTGTCTGGCGTTGTTTCTAGCCATCATGTTCCGATCGTGTTTGTGCGACTCTGAAGGTGGTATGCCACATAGCATTCGATTCTTCTGACTTTCGTTTTTCTCAAAGGGAACCTGTGCGATCGCTGAATGGGCCTGAGCAGACTGATTGATTTTGGCCAGCATCCCTTCATTGGTTATTATAGGTAGGGCTCGCAAATGCAAACGCACATCGACAACCGGCCTATTCCTCAAGCTGCGATGCACGCGTGTATCTCTCATCCATGCCCATGTGAACGTGAAAACTCAAGTGGAGCGAGACCGAGTATCTGGAGGCTGGCAGAAATCGGTCAGCCCGATCTCCGAACCACACGACATCGACGGACTCGAATATTGACAACCACCGGCTCTACGAAGCCTATCCTGTGCTGGTACACGGCCGAAGAGCCTTGTCGGCCGACAGGTGGCTGCAATTGATCGACATTGTGAAGGTGAGTAGAACATCGGTGGAGGTTGACAGACTCGACGTGACCGAGATCGCTGCCGGTCTGCCAGCCTCTGCTTCTTCCCCCTGTGGACGTGGGCGTGCAGATTAACGGAGAGCAGGACAAAGTATTCGGAGGCTGGCAGAAACTCATCAGCCCAATCTCCTGGACTCGAACATGAACAATCGGTTATACGAGACCCATTCTGTGCCGATACACGACCAACGAGCCTTGGCGGCCGAGCTGTGTGCGATCGATCGACGCTGTGAAGGTAAGCTGAACACCGGTGGAGGCTGACATTCTCAACGTGACCGAGATCGCTCCCGGTCTGCCAGCCTCCTCTCCGGGATGGCATATAAACCGCCTGATACGCAGCCATCTCGTCCTCACCTACTACCATCATCTTCGTTCCACACCTTCGTCGCAAGCTCGCCGATATCCACATCCTCACTCTCCACTTCAACCTCAACCTCAACACATCCACAACGCACACATACATCACCCCCATCATGTTCGGTCTACGCGAGTTGTTCAAGTCCCTCTCCATCTCCCGCACCATCCATGTCCCTCACCTGCCCATCCCTCGTGTCCTCCACCCTTTCGCCTCGTTCCGTCAGCCACCCAGGGACAACGCCGAGACTATCAACCACGTACGTTCGCTATACAGCATACGTCGTGGCCATGCTTGCTTACTGTTGGGATGATGTCAGACGCGGATGCGGGCCATCCGTGCAGAGGGTGGTATTGTCAAGGTGTGTACCTTTCTGTCGCACGCTGGGACTCGGGTCAGACGGTGATGTGATGTGTTGTACAGGATCTCGAGGAGTCGCGGAAGGCGTTCAAGAAGGTCGTGTGTGGTCGTGAGACGGTGAAGGCAGCTGGGGGAGAGTATGGGAAGGGCAATGCTGTGTCCACTGGCAGCGCCGCTCCATCGTACAGGCCGCACCGGGTTCCTCACCGGACTATCGCTCAGCAGTCTCCTTCGCTCTCGATTTCTCAGGCGATGGCCCAACTTCGGATTCGGCGACAGGATGAGTTCACGGCGTCGTCGAAGCTCCAGACTGGTTTAAACAACGGACAGGGCCCGATGGAGGATATCATGCCTGCTCCTCTCGAGGAGGCCATGGAGGAGATTTTGCCTGCTCCTCTCGAGGAGTGTATGGAGGATATCGTTGTGGCCCCGCTCGAGGATGCTATGGAGGACGTGATCCCCGCTCCGCTCGAGGAGCAGATGGAGGAGGTTCTGCCCGCTCCCCTTGTCTATGCGCACCCTATGACCCACTTTTACTGGACTCTGGTCAACCAGCCGGCGGTCCCCCCGCAGACGCCTCGTATGAACAGGACTCGGGATCGCGAGGCGTTCACTCCGGCATCGCCTCTGGCTGCGAAGAGTCGGTATTCGCTCTCGCAAATCGCCGTGCTTCCTCTGACGCCATTCCCCGATACGCCGGTCAAGTCTCGGCGTCGGAGACGACTGATGTCCGCTGGTAGCCCCTACTGAGGGGCACGTCGACCCGACTCTTTCTTCCCACTTCGGCCGTCCAGGCCTAGTCCCTCTTTGATAGAGGACTCGCTGTCTTCGCCGCTCTGAAATCCTCGCACGAACAGCTGTAGCTCTCCTCCACCCGAGGCTGTGCGGCGCAAGTGA